GGCGAAACTCTGGCTCGCGAGCCGCGTGCAGCTTTTCGTGCCCCCTAGAGCAGCTCTCTAACCCGAGAACCCTCAATTAAGTACAGGTGGGACTAAAAATTAAGCTTGTATACGGAAACATGACAGTGAGAAGAGGGTGCTGTGGTGTCCTCGGTGGGCCCGGCAGGTCGGGAATGTGTGACCGAACGCTGCGGTGGCCAATACTAGATTGTCTTTATTGTTGAGTGAAGATGACGAGGACGAAGAAAGGAAACTTAGCAGAAAAGACGAGGAAGTACTGATAAAATATTCAGTCAGGATACAGCAGGTGCAAATAAAAATATGCAAATTCGATGGGGTTTTTTCGTTGTCGGTGGGCACTTTTGAATGGCATGTAATGGTCTGAAGAGCCAAATCAGTTGGAATGGTAAGCTCTATTTTTAAATTTGCTTGTTTCTTTCCACTCCACAAGCCAGGTTGAGGCAGAATTAGCTTTGTGCGCAATTTTATTCCTAAAACTGATTTCTGAGCTGCCTGAGCTTTTTTATTACAACGCAGTCCAGCTACCTAATGAAACACCAAGACCACTGGTCTACACGCACACGCAATTTAAATGATTTGATTGACTGCTAGAGCAGATAAAAAGGGTTTTTTCTACCATGTCTCGAGCTCGTAAGTGCAGTTCCTCGCGGCAAAACGCATGCACTCTGTCTGTGGCCTCTTTTCGGGTGCAATTTAAATAACAAAGTGCAGCATTGGTGCAGGATGTAAGGGCTATTGTTCATTTGAACTGGCGGCAGAAATTCGGACAACTTTCCCATCAGTGAGATATGTGCGCTTCTATTTAACAAATGAGAAAGGTAATGTAAGGTACCAATTGCGGCTGCATGTCTTTAATGGCAGTAAATGTGCAAGGTATTTGCTTTATTTCAATAGAAAGAGTAAGCCATGAAATGATATAGATAAAAAGTATGAAGTCTTGAATAGGATAGATAACTGGGCAAGTTGGTAAAAGTTAATGTTGAAGAAACAGCGTAACTAGGACAAGGTCAAAACGACGAAGAGAACACGAGACAAGCGCAGACTGACAACTGGTTTGTTATTAGAACATATAAAAGAAAGAAAAGAAAACATGCAAAAAAAAGTTTCTACATTCAAGTTTACGAGATCGCCTGAGATAAAGAAGTAGGGGACATATTCTGCGAGGCACCCAGCAAGCACGCGAACATTTGACTTCATGTTTTCTTTTCTTTTTTTTCTTGTGTTCTAATAACAAACCAGTTGTTAGTCAGCGCTCGTCTTGCGTTCCCTTCGTCTGTTTTTTGTTGTCCCAGTCACGCTGCTTTTGTTTGTTTTTTTCAATATGAAGTCTTACTGGCCATCCACATATATCTACCAAACGCACAAAACAGAAAATCACCTCTGAAAGAACTCACGGTCGATGCCAGGCCCTCAGCGTAGCAGATGTTAAAGCAATAGTGACTCGCGAAGAATGCAGCACACGCCGTTGGAATGTCTGGTAACTTCTCAACCATGAGGCTGCCATCGATGCTCAGCGCTTATTCGTAGACAGTCCACCAGATCATCCCCTAAACAGATATTAAAAAATGAGAAAATAGTAAAACTTCACATCATAAGTACTGTTCCTGGCAAGGCATTGGAATAATGGGGCTCGGTTGCACCTCCACCGTCGTGGACATTTCAAATAATTCTAAAAATATAGGGGGAAGGGAAGGGGCCGAGCTTCGGTCCCTCCCCCTTACTCTTGGTCTCCCCTCAACATTCCAAACACTTCCGACATTTCTTGTTGCCGATATGATGAGAGATCACTGGCTCCATTTGCCTTGCCTCCACTCTGAGTGAGCTCTCTTGAGTGTAGGTCATAGTCAGAATTCTATTGCAGGAAGGAAGAAAACGGGGCGTGGAAAGCACCTAGCTAAATGTTCCCTGGTTAGTGAAAGGGAGACACTTGTCACCAAAAGTAAACAGGAAGGTTGAAGACCCTCTCCCCTCCCGTTGCATATCACCATCGCATTTGCTTGGATACTCACTGTATTGTTACATCTAGCATATACTTGTATTGGATAGAAGGAAACCAAACGATTTGTCACTTATAGCAATTTCGCAAATGCGTGTTGTCGCTATGAACTATATGTAGTTATTGTCGATTTCATGAATTGTGTGACAGACATGTGAAACACTTCAAATGATTGGTTTTTGATTTAAGCTTTGAAACGTGCTTTATATTTAGATCTCTGTATTTTTCGATTTCTATTGTTTTCGAATTTGACATACAGTTTTTTGGCTTTTATATGGAAAAATAGATTTTGGTTTTATCGTTGAATATTTTAAAGGTGAAAGTTTAGTGGGTTTTCTTGGTGAATATGCATTGACTAGTTCCGTTTTTCAATCAGGTCGGTCCAAAATGTAGTACATTAGAGATATATTTCAATTATATACCCGCGGCAAAACTTGCAGACATGACAAACATAACCTTGGTTAACACTATCGTAGGGACGACGACGAATTCTAAATTGCGAAATTCGCAAGCATAATTATTGGCACTTTTCTGCTCTTCACGTTTATAGGATTATCAAAACTTCTTCCCTCTAACAAGAGAAAAACTTGAGAGGGAGTTAAATCAGCTCCCCTTCCCACAAAAAAAAAACTGGTAAAATCAAGCGGTTTCACAAACAACAAAAAACTACAAATCTGGTCTTTAGAAGACGACTGCCAAATTGACGCATACGGACTGAATCACAATAACAACCCAGATTTCAACCACGACAAACCAAAGTACTCCTTAGAGAGTGTTGTCCTGCACACTCTCCGCCAAAAGAACACTTCACAGTTACATAGATAAGATGGTCCACTACTCGGTCAAATGCGATGAAATATCCCCCCTCCTCTTGGCTTGCCATAGTGGCCTGAAATACTGAGCTTTCTCGGGTAAAACCAAATTTGCAAAAATGAATTTGCCGCTTTTACTGGTACACGGAAGATCGGTGGCCGAGCTGTCTAGCGCACGCCAGCTCGGAGCACGTGGAGCGAAAGCTCGCGCTGTAAAACCCAAGTATCCTGGGTTCGATCCCCACCACTGCCTGTTTTGTTCTGGATGAGCATCGTACCGGCGTGCGGTCGTGTATCACTGCTGCGTGGTGCACGTTAAAGACCCCAGGCTAGCGGTTGTGCAGCACTGCCTAAATTGCTCATCTACAGCTGGGAGACAAGTTGCTCGTTGAGGCAGACTACGTTCGAGGCTGTATAAACATACACACAACCCAATTTTGTTTTTCGGACCGTACAAGGGGCTTCGCCGCCTCGGGGAGCTTAACTACGAAGTGGTGCCCGACGCAATGCAAACATCATCACGACGGGGAGCTCAACTACGAAGTGGTCCGCGACGCAATGGAAACATCATCACGACGGGGAACTCAACCACGAAGTGGTGCCCGACGCAATGCAAACATCATCACAACACCGACCACGACCCGAGGTGGTTCACGTCGTTCGCCTCAAGCCGTTCTGCGCTCGGTAGCACTGAAGACTTTTTTATTTTCAAGAGGACTCTCTTAGCTTACCATTATTTTGTTTTGTTTTGTGTTTTTGATGATGCTACGCGCATCATCAAAGAGATACGCTTCTTCGTTCATCTAGAAGTTTCGCGTACACTCTTACCCCGAGCGTAAAAAGATAAGGAGGTTAAAAAGACTTTTCCCAGCTAGTCTTGCCCTAGCTCGTTCCCGAGCATTCTAGGTGGAATATTCGAGATGACGAGCACAGTAGATAAAGAGCCGACCGCTGTATTCCCAATTCATTCACTGATTCTCTCTCGCAATAGCCAGCTGTTACGCCGACGTACCGTCGCTTGCTGCTGCCGCCGTCGACGCTCGCTGCTGCTTTCTCGACGTCTGTTCTTTTTGTTTAATTTTTGGCACAAGTTTGCCCCCATTAAATTTGTAGTTCATTCCGTTCTTTACTTTATCTTTCTATGTCATTCGTGACAATATGGCTAGAATAATATATCTAGTGTGTTCATCAACACCCCAAAAGTGGTGCTGTAGGAACCTTGTGGTTAGCCCTGAGGCAGTATGATTTTTACTCCGTTAAGAGTAAGGAAATTTTTAGAGTGCATAGCAGAACCTCAGCTCAAGTGAGACATTATGCCATGACAGTCTGCATTATCGTCTTTACTCGCAGGTATAGGCTTTTTTTAAAATTGTTTTGTGGGTTGTTTTTTTGAAGACGGGTATGTTCTGGAGAGATCGATACTCATCTTCTCGGGGCACTCCTTCAACGCACGTCAAGCTCTTAAACCAGGGGACGAAGCACGTCGTGACTTGCACTTAATGTAGAGTGGCGACGTTTTTATATGTTCTGCGATAGAACTGGTCAAAATTTAATTTGAAAATAAATTAATGCTTTATCAAAATCATTTGCGGTACTTTGCTCTACAGGATGCGTCACTAATGACATTACGACAATCCGGGTCATTTACTTGTGTGCCCTCAGCATCTGTGTGGCCTCTACCACCGACTTCATAAGATCAGAAGGCTGTGTCGCCATGTTTTATTTCACATCGGTACTTTGAAAAGATACCTCAAATAAAAATATTGTAGCCCAAATGAGTAATTAGGTTTCGGCAGTGATTAAAATCTTCAAAAGTTTGTTTGACAACGACGAAGGTGCCATCCGCGACAACCTCTAGCCAGTTTCAACATTGTGGGATTATTTGACTAAGAGATTATCACTATGTTGTTATAAATGCAATAAGCAATGGTTTGTGAGGTTAATCAAATGATTTCATAGCCCTATTTGGTTCCCAGCAAACTGCGGTGCCCTTTGGTATGCAGATATCCGCTTTATAATACACTTCAAGGTTTACTGGAGCCGTTTAAACTGTGTTCTTCGTTTATCTTCTCACCAGTGGGAAGTGGCATTCCAACGAGTCCGGCACCGTTATGGAAGAAAGTACCGCAAGCCAGCGTGGCCTCCCGCGTAATGAGCCTACCCCCCAGGCCATGTCAGCGGCGGCCGAGACCAGTGCTGGCAGCGCGTTCCTGCCGCGTCGCGGTATCCTCAAGAGAATTAGGCTCCCGTCCATCGACTACAGCCGCGTCAAAGACTGGGCCCACGCGCCAAACACATTCAAGGCGGAAGGCACCGGAGGAACGAACCAGAAGCCGGATCCCATGCGCATCATGTGGGCGCAGCAGGCCTTCTCCTCCATGGCGTCGCCCATCTACCAGAGCAAGCTCGTCCGCAACCTAGTGACGCCTCTGCAGTCGAAGTTCAGCAAGGTACGCAGTCCCCAGCCGGTCGCTTCTCCCAGGTGCCCAGCGCAGCCAGAGAACCTCCTTCATCGACCCCCTCCGGCGCCCCGTCAATCACCGCTGCCTGAGGAGCTCGAGTTGACGAGTGCGAAGAACTGGTCCGCACCAGCGACTGCTGTTCGTCCAGAGTTATGTATGATGTCCCACTCGATACTGGGCATCACGCACAGCGAGGACGTGTCCTCCTTCAGGTCGTTTACCACAAGGGGCGAGGAATGCGTCAAGATGACCGACCGCAGAGAATGCGACGAGGGAGCTCCGGGGAGTCGTAGGCCCATCCTCCGTGTCCCGTCCGGCGTTGCACAGTACGCCCCTTCGCACAGTCCTTCGCAAATGCCATACCGTTATGAGGCCAGCGACTCCATCGGACTTTATTCCGAGGAAGAGAGGGGTCCGACCGGCCGAAAGGTTAAGTTCGCGTGGCAGTAAGGAGCGTCAGATGGTGCGGTGACCATTCACAATAAACAATCATGTGATGGTTTGTTCCCTCGGAAGTCGCCGTGGCTATACATGATGACGCCCTAGCGTCGCTAGAGGCAAGTTTTGTATTAGGCACGCGACTTTTACCCTCCCATTCTTTATCATGAATCTGTTATGTTTCTTCCATAGCTAAATCAAGAGTTGGTTTGCTGTAAGACCTTCAGCGTGCTTTGTAAGCTCTTTCTTTTCAGTACCACCGGACTCCAAACTGAGTATGAACTGTTTTGTTATATTTGCATAAAACCCTTAGCGGCATCGGAACCCATATGATATTTGGATAAAAACATATTTCATCTTAAGTATAAAAAATAAAACGATGTTCATTAACGTTTTACTTTACCGATGTATTCGCCGTGCCATAAGAATTTATGGGTAAAAGCCCTCTGTTCAAAGAGCATTATTGTAAAGCAAATGTGAGAGCCGGCTAAAGGCTAGCGCATGAATCACTGAGGCGTGTTAGCCTGAGCTGCGAAACCGCCTTTTTTCTTTCCTCCAGTAGACAAGGAAATTTGACGTCAATAAACAGACGCCAATCACAGTGCCGAAGTTTGCTTCACAGAGCACCATTTGCCGAAGGTCAGTTCACAGAGCACCATTTGCTTAACTTACGTTGTGTTCCGGGAGTTCACGCCTGTTTAAAGAATAGAATTTTAAACTGTATTTAAAAAAATGTTTTCTGATATTGTAGGGACCTAGCAATATGATCATCATCATTTATTTCTCCTTGAGGGCCAGGGCCATTATACAAGGAAGCGAACACTTTAAAACAAATATTCAATAACAAAACACTCTGCAATCTATAAAAAAAAAAAAACGGAAATGCCACTCAGAGGAAAATGTAATCCTACGCCGAGAAACGCCAGCCAAACGTTTTCATGACGTAACGATTCCGTGGACCAATCGCGATCCTTTTGAAAATAAAAAAGCTCAACATGGCTGCTGGCCTTAGCAACGCGACGCTAGTTTCTCGTGACAATTATTCTGCTTTTTTGCACCGTTTCTTACGTGCCCGAGGTTACGCCACGAAATCTTAATGGTATCGGCTTGCGTTTGCAGCAGTTTTTGCGCGACAACGTGAGAATCCAGCGACGCTATCGCCAACGAAAATTTCGAAGCGGGCGCGAGGCTTAGCGCTGGAAGACGGTATGTTAGACACTATCTTGGACAGAAAACGAATTGGGAAGACGGTACATTGGACATGACTTTTTTCCTTTACTAAACAGCTAGTTCGTTGACCAAAACGTATTCTAACTTATTTAAATGTCCTGAATGAATTAAATTAATATTGTAGTAGAAATTGAGACGTTGCCTCCTCTTTTACTACCTTCTGTTGTGTTTTCTTTCTGCCCCAGTCTCAGGTTTACAATCATGTTAAACTTATGGGTTAGAAATTAGTTAGAAGTTAGAAGTTAGTTAGAAGTTAGTTATGGGTTAGAAATAAATAGGGTTATGACTGCAGAAACTTTGTTAGTGTCAGTTATAGAACCAGTTGGGTAAGGTAGTGCGTTCCATTCGTCAATTGCCAATGGTAAGGTTGGCAATGAACCTTTTTCCAGTAAGCTTCTGCGCATGCGTACACTCCCGAAGTGGCCATTTTCGCAGGACACCGGGACGCGGTGCCCTGCGAAAATGGCGACAGCAACATTGTCAGCCTATGTTCGCGCGTATTTAATCTATTTTTACGCTTTGTTTTTTCGTATCGGTAGTATGGGGTATAAAAAACACTTAAAACTGATCCAACGGCACGATGCCAATGTGTTTTGACGGACGGAGGCATGTTGGGCTGCTCTTTGATTTGTAGTTCGCAGACCCAGACAACTACCCAGACAACGCTGCTTACTCGAAAAATGTCCATTGATGAGTGACGGTTGACGCAGGACACCGGGACGCGGTGCCCTGCGAGAATAGCGACAGCAACATTGTCAGCATCTATGTTCGCGCGTATTTAGTCTATTTTTACGCTTTGTTTTTTGGTATCGGTAGTATGGGGTATAAAAAACACTGGAAACTGATCCAACGGCACGATGCCAATGTGTTTTGACGGACGGAGGCATGTTGGGCTGCTCTTTGATTTGTAGTTCGCAGACCCAGACAACTACCCAGACAACGCTCCTTACTCGAAAAATGTCCATTGATGAGTGGCGGTTGACGCAGGACACCGGGACGCGGTGCCCTGCGAAAATGGCGACAGCAACATTGTCAGCATCTATGTTCACGCGTATTTAGTCTATTTTGACGCTTTGTTTTTTGGTATCGGTAGTATGTGGTATAAAAAACACTGGAAACTGATCCAACGGCACGATGCCCATGTGTTTTGACGGACGGAGGCATGTTGGGCTGCTCTTTGATTTGTAGTTCGCAGACAACTACCCAGACAACGCTCCTTACTCGAAAAATGTCCATTGATGAGTGACGGTTGACGATGAAATCGGACGGAGTTTACGAGAATGGTCGAAACAAGGAAAAATACGATGAGGTGGCGATAGCAAACATTGTCTGAGATGATTGTTCTGATGGAAGATCCGATGGAGGAGAGAAAGACGAGACACCCTGCGGCGGTGAGAAAGTGTGACAAGGTTAGCTGACTCGCGAAATCCTGATATGCTAGCTTATGGGGAGTAGTCAAAATAAATAAAACGGAGGGCTGTGCTTTGAACGTATTTCAGGCGGTTAGTAAGGTGGGCCTGCCACTTGTCTCATGGAGGGAGCGAATTATATTGTAGCTCTTACCAATGTAGTATAAGCTATTTGTTTTACTGGGGATGTATACTTCTCTGAGGTTATGGCGAAAAAATCCGAGAGTACGGTTAATTAACATCGGCGATGACATGTTATATGAGTGGTTCATGACAGTGTAAAAACTCCACCTCGGTCTAGAAGACGACGAAACAGCGGACAGAACAAGCCAAGGCTCGAGCACCACCGGATAAGCACGAGCAGCGGGGGGAACGAGCCGACCACAACCGTTTTCTGCCTAGCTTCGATGTCCCTTTTCTGACTGTAAATAGTGTACATAAAGTTGCTATCGATTTAAACACCATAACGTCCAGAAGTTCTTCTATAGACAGGTCAGATGTCAGATGAATTCCTCTGTATTTATACAATGAACAAGTAGTTATTGGAACGCTAGAAAGGTGGTAAGAGAAGGATAGACCATGTAAGCTGCGGGAAAACGATATAGATTGTCATTTATTACAGCTTAATGCCATTTCTGACACCACTAAATTATAAGTGAGATCATTCTGCAAACTTAGTTCATCGTGATGTGAAGGAATCGTTCTATATATGTCACAGTCGTAGGCGAACCACCGTGCTGCAGAATAAGTGTCATAATGAAGATCATTACTGTAGATTAAAAAGTGAAGGGGGCCAAGAACTGTTCCCTGTGGGACCCCAGACGTCACTGCACTTCTGGTAGATTTTACTTTGTTAATAGAAGTCTACTGAGTGCGATTAGTGAGGAATTGAGAAATTCATTTGACTGGAGTGGAGTGGCTTAGTTTCAATAAAAGACGTTGATGAGGGACCTTGCCAAATGATTTAAAGAAGTCAATAAAGATGGCGTCAGTTTCAACAATGAAATCGAAATTTGAGTAGAGGCCAGTTAAAAATGCTGTTGTAGAGTTTCGCATGAGTATGACTTACAAAATCCGTGCTGATGCTTAAAAGAAGATCATGACACTCTAGAAAGTTTAATATGTTTCAAAAGAGAATGTGCCTTATGAGTTAACATGAAACACTAGTGAGCGAGATAGGACGATAGCCACTAATCAGTTGGCGGTCGCTGTTTTATGAACGGGTACGACGTTACCAATTTTCCAATCAGATAGAACTCCAGAGTTTAAGAGACTCAGAGAATATGTCGCAGAGGAAAGCTGAATAAATAAGTTTAGTGTGTAATAATACTGTACATTTTATTTGGTCATCTCGGGGAACTGGAGGACACCATCGGATAAATCGCCCAAGGTACTCCAGAGCGGTCGATTAAGATAGGATCCATAAGAGAGTGAAGGGATTGACATGAGACGGGAGGTCTAGCAAGTTTTCGTTAGTAAAGATAGAGCAGAAGAAGTCGTTAAATAAAAAAGCCATGTGTTCATCTTAAACAGGAAACCCGTGGTCATCTACAAACTGCAGTGGAAGCAATAGTGGCTGATTGATTATTTTCCAAAACTTTTTTAGTTGATGGTTGAATGTTGGGAAGGTTGTTACTATAGAAGTTAGAATTGGCTTGACTACTGGCGGATTTGTTAGCCCTTGCGCATTTGTTATAGGCGTTCGGAGAAGCCAGAGCGTCAACAGCCTTAGCCCGCGCATAGTCATTTTTTTTCTGTTGAATTGACTATGAACAGTTTTATAGTACTTTAGGGCGCAACGCACCCACAGATCCATCTTTCTCACCAAAGTAAAAGAGATGGCTCGAGGCGCAGCACACGCGCGCGCCTCGGAGAGCTCGTGAAAGGAATTCTTTGAAGCCACCATCACAG